CAGTTAATAAACGATAATCGAGAAAATAATATAAAACAAATAAAACAAATAAAATGCAAATAAATAATAATATAACATTCAAAAAATTCTAATAAACGAACGGGGCGTTACATTCTATCCTCCTTAAAAGATTTCTGTCCTCGAAAATAATAAAGAACACGCATCCAGAGGAAACGACAGACTCAAGCGAGAATCTTCCAACCATGAGGTCCGGATATCCCCTCAAAACTCGACCTTGCTCGCCGGAGTCTTATCGCCCTATACTCAAAATGGCATGCACCCACATACATAACCCAATCCGGCTCGCCCTATGCTCATATGCTTACCTTCTTGAAGGGGAGGGCAATCCATCCTGCCCGTGCTCAGACGTACATCCTCTTGAAAGGGATCTAGTCCTGCTTGGCCTATACCCACGTGTATCTAACCATTTCGCACCGCACCTAACAACACACAAGACCCCAATAGATCGTTCAGTGTATTGCTAGCGTGCTCCGACTGCCCAACCATCAAAGGTTGATACGTGACGCCAAGCTTCACTCTCATGCTTGGGTCACATTGAAAGCTTGCTCACGATTTCATCACGGACCGTGCGTCTCCATCAGAGACATTGACACGGTACCCCATATAGTCGGTACAACTCCAATATGCTCATACTCTCAACAAATGTAGCCTCTATACGCAACATAACACTCCGACAGATAACAACAGGAAACTTCCTATCCTGCCGACTCGAGAAACTCTCGCGTAAGGCATAGGAACTTATTGACCACACTCCTTAATCGAAAAAAATTGATTAAGGATTCATACTCTGTTTAGTGGAACTTGGAGCTCTCGGTTCAAGGTTCGCAAGAAAAGGGTTCAAGAGGCTAACAAATAGTTCAACAAGCAACCGGATCGAATAGTTCAAAAAGAAATTGATGGTTCGGGGTTAGTGCACTGTCACCCAAGAAGCGGCACGCTCGCTGGCGCTGCATAAGCGGGGCACTAGGACGTGCGCGTACACACCTACTCGGAGACCAGCTGCAAGGTCGAGGTTTGGCCGCACACGCTGGCTCAGGGAGTTCGTGCATTCGGTGATAACGGCTGCAGCTCTCGTGCGAGTCAACGGTCAGCCCCTAGGTTGGACTCTCGTCTCTCAGCACGGGTGTGCATACTCAGCCACCACTTCGTATGGCTACACCCAGTCAGGGCCGACTTTCTGTCCAAGGTTCCACAAGAAAGTTACGATCCAAGATCACCAAAAAGAAATTATTTTACAAATTTGTTCGAAAAATTTAGATTCAGCAAAGCAATACATCATTCAGTGTTTCATTCAGAGTTTCATTAAATAGATAGCTCGCCTCAACTCTTCCGACTAACAGCGTCGGCCGTCACGTCAGCTCTAACTCAGGTAGCTAATCGTGCCAGCATTCCTGAACGAGCGCAACTCATTTTCACCTCCCAATCTTCACACTTCATGATTCAAGCGTGAGGTTCCTCGCATTAAAATGTCTCCGATCGTATCTTCAGATGTTTTTACTACGTCCCGGTGTTCTCAAGAATAGGCCGAGATGTTATCGACGAAAATACAGCGACTAGACAATTCATAGCAGTCGGCAGCGCGTGGCCCAGCCCGAAAGCCATCACTATACAATCGCGGTGCTCTTGTCGGGTTCCATTGGTTATCTTGACAGCATCTCGTAATTAGACTAGGATATCATCGAATAGAACGATGACTTAATGACATGGATATGAATGGAATACTCGGTCCATTAGGTGCACGAAAATAGCAGGGGATCACTCCGTCCGAAAGACATAGCCACAAGTTGAAGAAATGATATAAGACAAGTGGAAAAACAAAATACTTGTCTTAATTGATACGCAAGGTTGCAACACTCGCATCAAAGCAAGAACAAGTGTTTGCAAAGGATCGCCAAGATCCCCAGAAAAACAAAGGATTTCTCCCTCAACTCTGAAAGGAGTAAAAGGACGAGGATTTCTAAAGACTACGATGAACAAACTTCAAGGATGAAGACGGTTTTGCACCTCACGATGTGCTTGCACTAGACTCGACTATCCTCTTTAAAAGATACTTCATAATCTTTTAAGGTGGAAAAACACTCCTTGGTATGCCGTCGAATTCGTTTCATGGAAATGAATCTTCTTGACTCCCTTCATGGCGATGCATTACTTCACGATCCTGGATTTGGTTGTCCATGGAGTTTCTATCACGCCGAATCATTCTAAGAATTGCGTCTGAGTCCTTCGTACCTATCCTCTAGGCGTTGGCTTCCACACTCGTCCTCCTGAAGTTACGTTCACCTTGATCACAGTTGAATAAGCACCCTTCGTCTTCCTCGTGGTTGAGTTTCTCCCGAGAGTTGCGATGGTATCCACGTTCTAAAATATTCGCGTCGACTAAGAGGTATCACGAAATAAGATTCTCAAATTTACGAGAATAGATAAGGATCAACAGAAAATCAAAATGCTTAACTCCATCCAAAATCTTACTCCACGCAAGGAAAGAAAAGACAAACAAAAATTCCAGAGTACGGAAATTGAATAGAAAAAGGAAGTCTCAAGCACAATTCAAAATTGTCTACCAAGCGAAAAGAAATAAACAAAGGTTTTGCAAAAGTCTACGAGAAGGAAAAAATTGAAGAAAGAAACAAGACTGCTTCGACTCCACGAGTCCACGTTTCACTGCCTCCACCATCGGTTCAAATTGTCTTCTTCAATATTGAAGTGTCACCTCGCAGTCCTGACATAGAATATTCACGTGGTGCCGGATCGGCCTATCCGCCTTAAGAACAAAGTCGGATTCCTTCGTTGAGAATTTTCGAAAACATTAATCACATCATATCTTATCATAAGCAATATCATCATCACTTATGAATACACACCTTGAGCTAGCGCGCCTGGACGAATCGAGGGGTCATATACACAAGTACTCAAAAAGATTCAGAAGTAGTCTACAGAAACAAAGACCTGCTCTGATATCAAACTGTAACGCCCCGTTATTTTTAAGTGAAAAATAACATTTTATTTTTCCAAAAATCAGAGTTAATTTAAAAAAAAAATATTTGAATGATTTATCTAATGGGAGCTACTCGAATAATCACATAACAATTCTCCCAAACATTTATATCTCATGTTAACGACATATGATCCATCATGCGAAGTAATCAAAACAAAACCAACATGATAATATTGTCAATCATATCCCGATTCAAACCGAAGCATGCATAATAATCCAAATCCCAAAACTCGAATTTGAAATCCCAATTAACAATTTTCAGTCTCCAAACGGAAGTAAATAGGTCTATCATAAGAAAATCACATAATAATAGTCAAGCGGAAGCAGGTAATTAAAAGATTAGCACATATAATGACCCCGCCTCCCTTGTCTTTCGCCACGGCCACCAGCTCAACCCGAAAATGGTTAATAGTTGGGGTGAGCAACTTAGCTCACCATACCATGCTGTATAATCAATATAAAGACTTAAAATCATGGTTGCAGTATGTAAGCAAATCGACTAGCCTAGCATAGGAACAAGCCAAGCATTTATAGAAATTACAGATCATGGTTGGAGTATGTAAGCAAATTATAGAAATCATGGTTGCAGTGTAACACCCCGCTTATCAGAGTAAATTTTTCGCAACTTTTACTTCGAATATACTTAACTCTTTTGAAATCTTTTGCGACTAACTCGGGATGCTACTCAAACTCATCATCTTAAAAATCCGTTTATCTTTAAACTTTTTGTCTAATACTTCTTTAGACATAATTAAAACAGATTTTCTTTAAACTTGCATTTAAAATACCATAATCATATTTCTCATAATGGTAAAAACTTGAAATCTGAAATTCATTAAAATGCAAGTTCAAGTCTCAATATGCGAGTGGGAATTCTCTCGTTTGAGAGCGAAATTCTTCTGGTGGGAGTGAGTGGTTGATTGGTTTTTGGTGTTTGTTTTTGATTGGCTGATTCTGGTTTTGTTCTTCGATTGCGGGATTTTCTAAAGTCCATTGGGGTTTTGGGGTGGTCGTGGAGGGCTCTGATATGGGGGACCGAATTGGGGCTCCAGTTTCTGAGAGTGAAATTAAGGAGGATGTTCTTAGGAAGCTACAAACATGTTCGTTATCAGCTAAGGAAACAGGAGAAATTGAGTTGCAGGTGAAGGATGTCAAGTCTAGTGAAGAAGAATGTGAGCGGAGTCTTTTTGGGAAAATTGTTGGTGACCGGCCGGCGAGCATGATGGGGATCAAGCGTGCTATGAGTAGTATTTGGAAGCTGCAACAAGCGATGGAAGTGAAGGAAATCAGCTCTAATTTTTTCCAATTCATTTTCACTTCTTTGGAGGATAAGGCGAAAGTTGCAGCGGGTAATAATTGGTTGTATGAAAATCAATACCTTATATTGACAGAATGGGTACCTGGACTTCATAGTCTTCATGAGTGCTTTAATGAGATTAACATCTGGGTACAAGTGATGAATGTCCCTATTAATTGGATGAGCACAGAAGTGGGTATGTGTATAGGAAGGATATTTAATCGAGTCAAGAATGTGGTGGTGTGCAAAGTAGGAGGGGAAATGGGAAGTTTTCTTAAAATTCTGGTTACGTTGAATCTGAAGGAGCCGGTTCCAAGATGCACAGTGGTTAAGTTGGGTGAGCAAAGGGTGATGGTGACTTTCCGGTATGAAAGGCTTGTGAATCTATGTTATTATTGTGGGATGATTGGGCACTTAGATCGGGGATGTAAACGCAGATCGGATGATATTGAAAAAGGAACACCTGTGGAAGGTCAATTTGGGGAATGGCTGAAAGCTAAGGAAACATATCATGGGGGAAGGAATTATCAGGCAAGCAGTTCAGAAGGTAAGAGCACTCCACCTAAACAGCCATCAAATCATGATTCTTTTGTGGAGACTAGTCCTACAACCATACCAAGCAAACAAATTCAGATTGCAACCACTGGAGATAAATCAAAGCAGGGGAGGGGGGAAAATTCAGTGAGCATGATTCAACCTCTTGCTTCGGAAGAGTTAGATCACTTTTTCTCTGGGGAAAATGGTGGACAGCCTATAACTGTTATTGGAGCAGAGAATGCAGAAGTCCAGATGGAGATGGATATTCAAGAATTGCAGGCTAAACCTACACCTGCGATGGGAGTTTCTAGTATATCCAAAGTTGTGGTTGGAGGAAATGCTGGAGCTTCATGGAAGAGAAAACAGCACAATACAGGCAGATTAATGAGAATGACTGAGCAGACTTTACCTAGTACACGAGCTGTTGAGGTAACTAAAGGGGAGAATTCCACTAAAGCATTGAAGAGAAACAGAGAGATTGTGTTATATGAGGGAGGTATACATATTATTGATCAAGCAGGCCCAGAGAAGAAGATGATAACTGACAGAGATGAGAATAAGGTGGAGAAGGCCAGCCTAAAGTGGCCCCGAAGTGATCCATGAAAGCTATGGTGTGGAACTGTAGAGGGCTGGGTGGGTCCTCTACAGTTTCCCAGATTAAGGACTCTAAGCGAGTCCACCACCCAAATATTATATTTTTATCAGAAACTAAAAAGTCCTGGGCATTTACTAACACAGTTTGCAGGAAGTTGGGTTTTCAGAGCAGATGGTTTTTGGAAAAGCCTAATGGTACAAGAGGAGGTATGCTAGTGATGTGGGATATGAATATTGAGATTAGGCAGTTGCTGGCTAATAATTTCTGTATTCAAGTAGAAGTTAAAGGAGCAGGAATTAGAGAGTTGTGCTGGTTGGTCTTTGTTTATATGAGTACAGATAGGCATGAGAGGGAAAGACAGTGGGAGTTCCTTGAGCATAACAAATCAAAGTGGGGTAGATGCTGGGTAGTAGCTAGGGACTGGAATGACATTTCTTGCAATGAGGAGAAGAGAGGGGGAGTGAGGAGACCTGAGTCCAGTTTCAGAGGATTTAACACTTTCATTGCAAATATGGGAATGCAGGAAATGGATCAAAAGGGTGCATTTTTTACCTGGGGTAACAATCGACCTGGGGATGGATATATTGAAGAGAGACTTGATAAGGTGTTTATCTCTTATGATTGGCTGCTGAATTTCCCTAGAATAGAGGTCATAAATTTTTTCAGAACAGCATCTGACCACAATGTGATGATCTTTGACACTGATATGGAGACTGATAGGAGAATGAAGAGGTTTCAGTTTGATAGCTCTTGGATTAAGTTGGAAGGTGTAAAAGAAGCAGTTCAGAGGGGGTGGCAAATTTCTGTAGATGGGTCTCAGATGTACCAAGTTCACCAAAAGATTAAGAGCACAAGAATGGCATTACTGGCCTGGCACAAACCTATTAGCAGAAACAGTGATAAGATTATCAAAACTCTGACTCCTAAATTGGAAGAGATGAGGTTGAGTGGGCAGGAGAGGGACTGGGAGGAATGGGACTTATTGAAGACTGAACTAGACTGTGCTCATAAGGAGGAGGAGAATTATTGGAGACTTAAATCTAGAGCTTTGTGGATGAAAGAGGGAGACAGAAACACTCGGTTTTTTCATGCTTTTACTGCTCAAAGGAGAAAGAATAATTTTATTCAGAGGCTTGTTACTAATACAGGGGAGGTGTGTGAGTCACAAGCCACCATTGCCAATCACATGGTGGATTTCTATTCATCTTTGTTCACATCTGAAGGATCCGCAGGAGGGGAGGAGCTTTTGCAGCACATATCTCATTCCATACCTGAAGAAAGTAATAACAGACTTGTTCAACCAATTCAAGATATGGAGATCAAAGCTGCTCTTTTCCAAATGGAGTCTGATAAAGCACCAGGGGAGGATGGTATGACTGCCTCTTTCTTTAAACATTTTTGGGATATTACTAAAGTGGATGTGTGCAATGCTGTTAAAAGTTTTTTCAGTTCTGGTACCTTACTTAAAAACTGGAAGCACACGGTGATAACTCTTATTCCAAAATGCTTATATCCTGAATCCCTAAGTAATTTCAGGCCTATTTCTCTCTGTGGTGTTTTGTATAAAATTGTTGCCAAAGTTATTGCTGAGAGGCTGAAGGTGTGTCTTCATTTCTGCATTAGCCCTGCTCAAACTGCATTTGTTCCTGGGAGAAATCTGTTAGATAATGTTGTGATAGCACATGAAGTGTTTCATTTCTTGCATAGACATAGATCTGGGTCTCAAGCATTCATGGCTGTCAAATTAGATATGGAGAAAGCATATGATAGGGTGGAATGGGATTGCATTCAGAAAATTATGCAGAAAATGGGGTTCCATGGTATGTTCATTAAATGGATAATCAGATGCATCTCCTTTCCAACATTCTCTTTTAATTTGAATGGGAGGAATTGTGGTTTTGTGAGGGCTACTCGGGGAATCAGACAAGGGGATCCACTTTCTCCTTATTTATTTATTTTGGTTTCAGAGGCTCTTCCTATATTTGTTATGTCATGTTTTATTCTGCCTGTGGGTTTGTCTAAGAACATTTGTAGACTGTTTGCTAAATTTTGGTGGAATAGAGGAAGCACTCAAACTAAGGGTTTGCACTGGAAATCTTGGGATAAACTGGCTATACCAAAACTTGAAGGAGGATTGGGTTTTTTGGATATAAGTCTGTTGAATAAAGCTCTTATCCTGAAACAATTGTGGAGGCTGTTGGTCCAGCCTGATTTGCTGGTCAGTCAAGTGTTGAGAGGTAAGTATTTCCCTGATTGCTCTATTTTTGACTGGACTCAATCAAGTAGTGACTCTTGGCTGTGGAAATCATGGGCTTCTTTACTGCCTCTTCTTAAATCCCAGTTGCATATTATCATTAGAAATGGGGCTGATACTAAGCTGTCTGATTATGGTTGGGTTCCTGGTTTGGCTGGTAGAAAACCTGCTCTCAGAATTAATATTGATAATAATCAGCTATGGGTTAAGGATCTGTTGATTGCTGGAGGGTGTCATTGGGACTCCAATCTGGTAAATGCATTATTTGCTGCTGAGGATGCTGCAAGAATTTTGCAAATCAGCACACTGAATCTAAGGATAAATGACTTGTGGAACTGTGCTTTTGTGACTAATAAAAACTTTTCAGTGAAAAAAGCATACTCTTTTCTGGTTGCAGGGAAATCCAATGTAGTAAATGTGGCTGAAAGCAGTATGTTGGCTGTGGGAAATAGGCAAGCTAGATCAAGATGCTGGAATCTGAAAGTGATGAGCAAGGTTAAACACTTCATATGGAAGTGTTTTAACAATATCTTACCTGTCTGTACAAATCTGATTTCTCGAGGGCTGATTATTGATCCTTTTTGTAAAGTTTGTGGTGAAGCTGTTGAGTCTCAAGAGCATGTTTTATTTCAGTGTCCTAGAGCAGTGAAAGTGTGGCAGATTTCTCCAGTGCAGTGGAACAGAGTACACCAAGAACAACTTTCTTTTAAACAGTGGTGGTGGTGGATTAGTGGAATGGATTTCAAGGATACATCAGAAGACAGAATTCAACTATCCACGTACATACTATGGTGGCTCTGGAAAGCGCGAAATATTTGGATTTTTGAAGGCCATATGCAACCGGAGAGATGGATTATCAAGGTAGCAATGCGAGACTGGAATGAATTTGCTTGCACCCACACATGAGCTTTTCTGGACGGAGCTGAATGGGAGCTAGGCTTTTTAGCAGTGGTTTCTATTTTACTCTTTGGTTTATGTGTTGCATTAGGTGTAGCTGATTTTGGTTGTATTTGTGGTACTGTTTATTGTTGCTGTCTTATGAATGTTTCTAGTTATTGTAGAATGGTGTGTAGTAGGTTGGTTCGACTAGGCTGCATTTGTGTATGCATGGCCTCTCAGTTACCCAGGCTGTATTGTACTTTGTATTATTACCTTTTATGGGGTTAATAGAGATGTTTATGTCGTTGGAAAAAAAAAAAAAAAAAAAAA